AAGGATTTTAAATGAGCTGGAACTTACAGCACTACGTCATAATCTTTCCTAATTGCCATCATGCCATTCTCATTTTTCAGATATTCTTGTAATTTAACATTTACGAAATAAATAATCAAATTAATCGTATTAATTTGAACATATAAATGTTTGATAAATAGCAAATGTAATTAGTTTCTGATGTTCAGAGCTGGAAATTTGTGTTTCAGATTGATCTGACCCGGTCAGGCTGTTCTGACATAACAATTGTTTTCTGAAGGGTTGATTTAACCTCATCGTTCCAGTACAGCGAGGACAAGTTTTAAGGCTCGTGGAGAGCAAGGAGAGGAAATGTGTTGGGAACAGAGCATTGCTTTTTTGTGCATGAATTAGTGTGCATGCTCCTTTTTTTAAAGAGTACAGGTTGATTAACTTGTGACATCTTTGCTTATCTAATGATGACAGAGTATTTTTAATTTTTACACATTTTATTTTTTGTCTTCCCATTTTAGCCATGGGCCACTGACTTTGAGTGGCTGGGCTGGATAAGCTTCTGACAGGCTTTATTAATGAACTATGATACATCATATATACACATCTCCTACTGACAATGTGGGGAACTAGATAAGGACAGACTGCTCTCTTTAGAATATGTTCTCCAAGAATCGTTTCAATGGACAACATGGAGCAGGTGTTTCCCCTAAAGGAGGCGCAAAGTCAAAAGTTCACCCACCTAAGAAGAGGGCTCCAAACCCAAGGGTAGCACTAGTTATTCGGGGCAAAATACATCGTTTATTGCAAGGATCTGCAGACCACCATGTCCCAGATTCCCACCTCTATTATTCAGGTATTGAGGAAGACGAGGCGAGAGAAACACATGAGAGCAGAAAGGAGCGCAGGAGCATATACCCAAAGGTTAGCCCAAGGGCAGAAGCATATTCCCCCACAGTTTCAAACACTAAAACGCATGGTGTAGCATCTGGGCCACCATGTGTAGGAGAGGTGGAACTGAACAGAGAGGGGTGTATAAGAATACCCTGCACTTTGCAGCATAAAAGATGTAGATCACCAGCAAATATTAAACGAATCTCCTTCGAAGAAGGACTTCGGGATGCTCCGGAGCAATTACGGCCACCCCTACACTATGCTCCGGTTGGTCCAGACGTGAATGGCAAGAAGTTCGTATCAACAGCAGGAAGGAATTTTGCCTCACCCCGTATTCGGCCAAAGAGACCTTATTCTACTGGTGACTGTGTTGACTACAATTTTAACAGACCTCTCCCTGGTACACTGCTAGAAGAGGATGAAGATAAAGAGGAGGAGTCAAGTGCCATCATCGAGCACATTCTAAAAGAGCTGAGGGGGATCAACAAGATCCAGGAGGAAATCTCCGACCTCAGGGATTACCTGACCTCAGTTCGAGGGTCAGTTGAGGAAGTATCATCGTGTGTAGATGCTGTTCTGTTGGAGATTGAGGGCATTCGTTCTAGCAACAAGCCTGGAGCCCATGCAGGTACTTGGTCAGGGGTAGGGTGCAAAGATGGTCCATCCTGCCGCAGGAGGCCTGCGAGTGCTTATGGCAGTTTAGGTAGTGCAGTGCCAAAGTCAGAGTCAAATTGTTTCCCTCAAGCATGCAATGAGCGCCATAGCATACATAGAGAATTACTGCTATCCCAGCCAGAAGACTCAACAGTTTCCCCAATCGCTGAATCAGTGGATCATCGGGAACTAGAGGAACCAGAGGAACCAGAGGATACCTCTGAGCATAGCTCTGATATCCCAGTAGGCGCTATAGCAAGAAAACTCAGCTTTGGCTACCTTGACAGGCAGGATGGTCAAGACTGCCTGAGCACCAGCTCTTTGTCTTCTGGTCATAGTTCCAAATCTGAATCAGACATAGAAAGACCATCATCTAGTCATGGAAGAAAGCAAGAGAGGACTCGTGATGGGGAGGAACATTGGACTAATGCTGTACCAACACACAGTGGACCTATGGAATCCGTGTGGCATAGGGAAACAGCTTACATAAGGGAGCATGAAGGTGTGAGCCCTCTTTGCTGTGAAGGAGCTGGGAGCTGGGAACAATACAGTGGTGCGACGGGATATGGTACATCTGGGCAGTGTTCTAATGCAAGCTCAGAACATCTCTCTATACACTCTGGAAAGCATTACAACTCACCTGCCAGCAGTTCTAGCAGAGAGGAATGGCAGCCGCGAAGGAGGCGGCCTCAGAACCAGTCTGGGATTCATGGATCGGCAGATCCCAGTGAAAACTCCACTGTAGCATATGAATGTGCTGCTGATTTGTCCTACCCGCAAAGTTCTGGTTACCACTCAGTTGATGGGCATGATGCTGAAGCAGAGGAATCAGACTTTAGGCATTCAGCTGATCTGAGCTTTACAACAACTTGTCAAGTTGAAACGTATTTAGCATATGACGAGTCTACAGCAATGACGTGGACTGAGCCATCCTGCGTGACTGACGCCAGTAACCAAAGCTTAGGAAATCAATTCTCTCACCCTGGCAATGCAGATCCCCAAGCTGGGGGTTTCAATGTCAAACGCATAGGTAGAGCAGTACTTGATTTTAGCTCTGCCTTGCGGGGAGCGTTGCGCAAACTTGAAGCACCTGGAGCTGTGAATCCTGAAGAAGAAACAGACTTTGAAATATCAATGCCTTCAGAGCTGCCTACAACTCAGTTGCCTTCAAAACCTTTTTGCTATCAGACACAATTGGTTCAAACATCTGATATAACCCAAAAAGGTGATGTGGTTGGTGGTGATGATATTGCTTTTAGGGAAAGCATAACCAGCACTGTAGATATATTAGATACTTTCTATGTGGAGCCTATGCTTAAAGAAGCCATCAACAGCCTTACATTGGAGTCTACGGAAACTTACCAACACCCCTTTTCTGACATTGTCCCACCGTGTCCTGAGGAACTCCCAGTCTGCCCTGACATGATTTGCAGTAGTGCTGCAAAACTGCCTCAACCTGATGGCCTTACAGAAAAACATGCAGAAACTCTTGCAGATGTGAGCCTTAAAGAAGCTCAGCTTTCGCAATGTACCACTGCGGATTCATTGTCGGCCTCGGTTTTGGCTGACGAACCTGCAGCCGTGGAAGGGCAAGGGCAAACTGATGTCCCACTACCACAACAAACTAGCATGGACGCCCCTATAGTTTCCGAGGACAAACCAGAAGGAGAAGCAGCAGAGCTATCCACAGAGATCAGCCAGATGGATGAGCGCAGGCTAAAGTGTCTGAGGAGCTTTCAGCAGATTCTTCGTGAGAAGAGAGAGACCAGGCGCAGCCTTGCCAGTGTGTCCACCTTCTCTCAGGATGAGTTTGAGCAAGGTAGTCATTACATGACATTTAATGTTGGGCTCATCTGTTGTTTTATTGTATGCATTTTATTTGGTTGTACAACTTTTTCAGTATCACTGCCGGTAATGTTTCAGGGCAACAGCCAGTATCGGTCATTGACCGGAGAATATTGGATTTATTAAGCTGCATTCCACTCTGAGATGTGTTGTGTTAACGAAGAATTTAGCAAAAACATAGAATTTAATTGATCAAACTGATTCAGTTAATTTAACTCTTTGAGTCAGGACTGGATAAGAATATCTGATTAATGCACGTTTTAATTTGGGTTTTTTTTTTTGCTTTTTTTGTGATTAGAGTAGATGAACCATTAAAATGTTTCAAATGAAGAGCGATATGAACACACTTCATCTTCTCAGTAAAGGAGAATGGGTATTTTAATTCATTCAGATGTCTATAAATGGTAACTGAGTCATCATTTAACTTTTTTGTCAACACAAGTGTTTCTAGAAGAACAAACAGGAAAACTTTTCCTTCCCAGCTTCCTGTCATCAAAGCCTCTTCCCGTTACTGAAACTCTTTGATCTGTCCTGGCTGCAGTGCATCGTTTTCGTTGATGAAAGCTTAACCACCGGTGTCCTCTATAAATACCCTCACCCAGAGGTTATGAATAAGCCCCAGTACCAAACGGTTCCGTTGGGTATTTACCGTACCAAACGTTTTCTGCTGGCGCTACACTTTTCTTGTCCTTTGAGAGTAATGTATCACCTGCCACTCAAGAGTCCCTTACTCCTCTAAGGCAGTGGCCATTTGCTGAATTAGAAAACATTAATTATCTCCTTGGAAAGCTAGCGTCACATTAAAGAGGAAGGAGAAGCGAAATATTAGGAGTCATTTTCATGATAAATTATACATGTTAATGAAACATTTATGACCTCAGACCTCATCTATCTGATAGCTCAGCAACTGTGCTGCTTTTAGCATTACTCAGGAATTAACAACAAAATGAATAATCCAGGGTGTGGCATGTTATTTCACAAACTAGTCTGTGACTGTTTTCCATTTGTTTTTCTTTTTTCTTCTGTGCTGTGTTACAGATGGAAGTCAAGATGGAGATCAGGTTACTTATTTTGTGGTTTCTCCCCCATTAAAATTATAAACGCAGTATTTCTAAAGAAACTGTTCTTTCTATAATTATATTTCTGTTGTACTTATACATTTCCATCATGCTTGTGTCTATATTTAATTTTCCTTTTGCATTTATATCACTTAGATGTTCAGTTATATGTAGTTATGTATATGCAATAATGCCCGCACTGATTAGGACATAAAAGATTGAAACGTGTTAGTCACTGTGGTATTTCCTTTAATACCTGTTAGAAGAAAAAACAAAAACATGGTAAATATTTGGTTTGTGTTTTCTGGGAGCACATGTTATTTGTGTTTACTGTACAAGGGGAAACCACATTAATGAGGCTCATATATGCATGACGACAATTCAGTTGATCGCAGAGTCCTGTTTGGCATGCGGTACTGAAACTCAACCAACACATTTGAGTCCCTGTGCTTCTGTCTTGTTATTTCCTTTTCACTTTCTTCTATAGCTCATGCTTGTGCATGTGCATGCACCACTGTTATGAATCCAGTAAAGCCAGACCCAGTAGCTGAACGCCTGACCTGTGACATTCTTTTTCAGAGCCGAGATCAAGATGGTGACCTCAGCAAGCACCCGTGGGCCAAGCCAGGGTCAGTAAAGGTCTTCTGATGTGTGTGTGTGTGTTCGTTCGTTCAAGCGAGTTAGTATGATACAGTCGACCCTAGAAATTTGCAGGTGTCACGTTGCTAGAGCACCCGTGAATAGTGAAAAACTGTGAATTTTGGGTGTGGTCATAAAATGCATATAAATTCCTGTTATTATGGTTTAAACCCTAAATTTGGGCTTTAAGAAGACTGCTATGATACGAGAATGCTGGAGATGCAATCAGCAGAGATATAGAACGCCCTCAGATTGGCTACTTACAAATCTCCGCCTCTGAGCACAGGGGTATTTCGCCATCACAAGCTACAAATTTGTGGATATTTGTGGTTTTTGTGGGTAGTTAGGCTCTAAGGAAAAATCTGCAAACGACTAAGGCCGTGAACTGAAGGTATGCTGTACTCTGGATGTTCCTTATTTAAAAACTGATTAATACATTTCCACATTCGATTGTTGTGTACAGGGGGAACACACCGTTTGGCATTGACAGCATGCCAGATCTCCGCAAGAGAAGGCCCATTCCCCTCGTTAGTGAGCTGGTAAGCAAACACTCGATCATTTTCCTTGTGACATTTTAATGTTGACCCTTTCTGACCCTAAACTTGATCAGCTAATTGAAATTAAAGACAGCCACCTTTCATACTGACTTGTATTTGAATATGCAGATGTACCAGTTTGAAAATGTCAGTCAATCGTGACTAAGCGAGCTAAACAATCTCCCACATGAGAGCAATAAAACAGGTTTATCATTTAACTACAATGATGGAGTCAAGTGTCACTGCTGTGAATAATGAACAACTCGCTTAATTAAGTTTTCCCAGCTAGCATGAGTTTCATATTTGATCTAAAATTATTTTGCATTTCTAATTATTGGCAAAGTGAAGGTCTAGCTATATAACTATATTCTCAAACGTCTTCACTGACCCATCCAAATCATTGAATTCAGGTGATGCAATCACTTCCACGGCCACAGGTGTATAAGATAAAGAGTGAGTCGCTCCCAGGAGCTCAGGGAATTCCAGCAATGTAGTGAAATTTCCAATCTGTTAAATATTCCACAGTCAGCTGTTTGGGGTATTATGACAAAGTGAAAGTGACTGGGATCACAGCAACTCATTGTGCCGAGTGTAAAGTTTGGTGGAGAGGGGATTATGGTGTGGGGCTGTTTTCCACCCTTTAGTTCCAGTGAAAGGAACTCTTTCATTTTGGACAATTTCATGCTCTCAACATATTGGGAACGGTTTGGGGATGGACCCTTCCTGTTCCAACATGACTGTGCACCAGTGCGCAAAGCAAGGTCCATAAAGACATGGATGAGAGATTGTGGGGTGGAAGAACTTGACTGGTCTGCATGGAGTCCTGACCTAAGCCCAGTAGAACACCTTTGACTGCAAGCCAGGCCTTCTAATCCAACATCAGTGTCTGACCTTTCAAATGTGCTTCTGGGAGTTTGGCCTAAAATTCCCATAAACACTCCTAATCCTTGAGAGATGCCTTCCCAGGAGAGTTAAAACTGTTGAAGCAAAAGGTGGGTCGACATATCAATTAAGTCTATGAATTTTAAGAACGGGAGGTTTTATTATTGGTTAGTTAACAGTATTTTTACCGTATGCACCAAAACAGCAGTGTGAAATAAATGAATATCTGCAGCTTCCATTCCTGATCACTCAGTTGAAACGTTTGGGTTAAAGAAACTGCTGATAAATATCCGAAATAAAGCTAAGGCAGTATAGATCATAGGGGACTTAGTATGTTCATTTCCTGTTTAAGCTCCTCCCCTTTTAAGCTAACTTTCTTCTTATTGGCTGCTACCATAAACTAAAGGTTTGAGCAGCAGAGGATCAGCAAAGGAAGGGTGGGGCTTCTGTGCTCACAGCCAAAAGTGCGTCTCAAAGTTATGGTGTAAGGTCAAAAAAGCTGAATCCGTTCACAGGGTTTACTAACCTGTGCAGTACCAAAACATACAAGTCAGAAAATAAATAAGAGCATAATAGTCCCCCTTTCAGATTCATGAGCTTCAATGCTGAGCTTTGGTGGAGTACACACTGTTGGCCTAACGATGGTCACCAAAGCAACCGTAGCTCTCATTTGCTTGTTTTTTTTCATGTACCCATTGCACAAATATGTATTACGGGGATTTTCCATGTTGCTGTTTTGTCTAGTGCATAGTTTTTGTTTCTCTTTGTAACTGTGGTGCACGAGATGTTTTGCCATAACTTTACTTATGGATTTCAGCTGTAATGACCGATTAAAGGCCTTCAGTTTCTAAAGTGGCAATTAAAAAAAACTGATGCAAGAGTTGTACATACTACAATCACCTGATTTGATTCTTAAAGATTGATAATTTGCAGGTACATGCTTGAAATAGCACTGTACAGCAGCGATCGCTGGGTAGTAGTTTGTTTGCAAGCATTGAATTGTTGGTTTCAGGGTAAAAGCTGCTGGTCCTCTCAGAGGGGAACCTGTTTGTTTTGTCTCTAACCTTTTCTTTCTTCTTGTTTTCTTTCTTTGCACATGTCTCCCTGCCTTTGTCGGCCCTCAGGCTATGGTGAGTAAAAGACCAGAGATTTCAGCTGCTGTACTTTATTATTTGTTTGAGGCGCTTTGTTTCATAGTCTGCTTTGTAGCGAAGCATTTTGATCTGCTCAGTGCGAGTTTTTCTTTTGTGGGTTTTCATACATTCAGTGTGAGCATGCACACACATGCAGCACATACGAGTCAAATATAAATCCGTTTATTTAAAAATAAGCTGACAAAACTTTGTGTGAATATTTTCAAATTGGCCTTTTTTTGAGGGGGATTTGTGTTTTCAATTAAACCGCTCCATTTTTTTTTACATAACACATCCACTACTCTACAAAAACGCTAATAAATGTTAAGGTAAGTAGTGGCTTTCTCCCCTCAGTCTTCAGCTGAGTACTTTGGAGAGGCTCAGACGTAGATCCATTGACTGCAGCTGTGAATATTCAGTCCCTGAGACTTGTTTGATTAAAGAAACTCGTCTCCTTTGATTTAAAGTGATGCTCCAGGGTGAAGGTCACTCTTTCAATGGCTGATGTGACAGATCAGGTTTGAAGGGATATAAAGATTCTTGAACAAGCTCATCTAACTTCATCAAGCTTTGTCAATTCATAAATCATAAAGAGTAAGTGACCCAGACAGGAGATGATGCCCACAGATGAACAAGAAACTTTTCAGATGGAGCTAAAGTAGTTTGAGGATGAAACTGCAGAAACTCGGAAAGAAGAGTAAAAGTATGAACAGACAGTGGTTTGTCATGTTACCTGTAAAGAGTAAAAGTTTCAGATAAATAGAAATAAGATAATTACAAAATTGCTGCTATTTTTACAATGCAAATCACACTTACAGCAGAGAGACTTCTGGTTCTGGCTGATTGTGATGTTATGTGGACTGAGCTGCAGCGTGCCGTATTTCCGCTTTTACTTTGATAGTCTCATGTGCATTGTTAGCGTGTTTACTTTTCCTTCTCTTGTCACGTCCTGCCTAATTAGTTGCAGCTGTGTTTCCCTCCTGTTTCCCGTTCTCTGAGTTCTCCGATGTGTGTTTTAGTCCTCAGTCTTCTCCTGGTCGTTGTGGCGTTGTTAACCTACACTCCCTCCGTGCTGTGTTTGCTCCCTTCGTGTTCCGAGAATTCCCTAGCTCGTGTTTCCCAGTTTAGTCTCCAGTGTACAGTTTAGTTTCTAGTTTTTGTGTTTGACATTATAGTTAGCTTTTGTTAAGTTAATTTTTATGTAGCGTTAGCTACGCCCTAAGTTTAACTTTCTGTTTCCGAGTCCTGCAATTGGGCCCTTCATCCTGCCTGCCACACAGCACCATGACAAATATAACTTTAAAAATTCATAAAACCTTTAAAGTGTTTTGTTTTTTTAATAACATTTGATGGCCAGTCCTGTTTTTTATACCCTGGTGTTATTGAAATTAAAGTTATGGATCTCTTTCCATTTAGATTAGGGCTAGGTTTGCTTAGGACAGGGGTGGGGAACTCCAGGCCTCGAGGGCCGGTGTCCTGCAGGTTTTAGATCTCACCCTGGGTCAACACACCTGAATCAAATGAATAGTTCATTACCAGGCCTCTGGAGAACTTCAGGACATGTTGATCAGGTAATTTAGCCTTTAAATCAGCTGTGTTGCATCAAGGGCATATTTAAAACCTGCAGGACACCGGAACCTCGAGGCCTGGAGTTGCCCACCCCTGGCGTAGAATAAAATAATTGCGTTGCATCCTGTTGCTAGGACATCCTTCTACAAAAGATATGAAGATATAAATTCTAGATACTCTTTTAACCTTCCCTGCTCACAGACAGGAGCTTCCAGTCTGTGCTACTGGACCACGGACATGTTTTTATGTTTTCCAGCATCGACTGACCTCTTTTTGGCACTTTAAAGATATTTCACCTTGGGCTGTCTACCTGTCCAGTGGTATCGTATCCACTTCTATGAGCTTAGCTGTCAGAATGGATTAGGAGAAGCTGAGCATTTAGAAAGAAAAGACAAATTTTCCAGTGAGTCACGGCTGGAGAGGGTTTAATTCTTTAAGCATGCTTGGTAATACCTTTCAGGCTGATGCACTTCAGCCAGAGAGGCTTATGTCAGAGAACTGACCATTACAGCAAATTATTGAACAGTTAGCTCTAACAGGAAAGACGATGGTGTTTTAAGAGGGTTCGCAATGACTGTTCAGAGAATTCGATAACCTCACTTCACTGATAAGTACACACAAACACAACAAACTAGTTGAAAAATAACAGGAGGTTGTGGCACTGGCATGTGATTAATCATCAGAAAAACCGTGACTAAGCAAAAGGTCTTATATCTATCTCACATGCATGATTATAAACTGATCATACTGATGGTTCTCCTGGTTTCAGTGAATGTGACACGTATGTGAAACAGCTCATTCCACTCATATGAGCACAAATTCAGGGCTCAGTGTGATCCAATGCCAGGCTAATATTAAAGCTACGATACGTAATTACCTTTGTTAGGTTAGACAGAACCAGTGAAAGTTTGGTTTATTGATATAGATGTTTAAGACCTTGAATGTGTATATACATACAATCTATACTCCAAAAAGCCCTCACTCCATATAATGGGCCATTTTTGACGTCGTAAATTAATTAATTTTAGCCCTTGATGTCACAAAAAGAGAGTAATAAGTATCTCTCGGTGTCTGTGATCTGATTTCCCTCTCACTAATTTCCAATGAAGGAAGCTAAACTAAATACAGGCAACTAACAACCAGAAAACTCTTCATTGCACTCAATCAAAATACTGCTTCTTCAAGTGAAGAGTTTCGTAATGACTCATTCTGCAAATAAATGACTTTGATCAGTTTAACATGATGATAACTGACAGCAAGCTGCTGTGAGAGGAGTCACTGTAGGATTAAGAAATCTGTGCATGTATTTGAAGAATATTCTCAGGTGCGTCACACAAATGAGAAATGGAAACACTTTTCAGCTTTAGTGGTTTCTAACCTGTGTTCTCTTTATTTACTTCCTTTTTAGTCAATAACTTTCTTGTAGTTTCACATTAAATGTAAACCAACAAGAAGCAGAAAATTAACTTAGCTCAGCACAAAGACTGGAAGCAAGGAGAACAACTTCAATAAATGTTGAAATGCTGAGAGTGAAAATGATGCAGAGAGGGGCGGAGCACAAAGCAAGCTCAACATAACCGGGCTTCCTTTGTGTTAGCAGACTCATCAAAATCCAGTAATGATATTAGCATCGTTTTCTTGCACAAAGCTTTCAGCTTAAGGCTCCGTGTTTGACACATGATTTAAATAATCGAGTGCCGCCTACTCCAGCCAAGAACAGGTCATAGAGAGATGTGAAGGATGACGATAACATTTCCAACTGAGACACGAGAGAAGTTAATATATGATGTTTCTCTCAGAGCATCTTTAGTGCTTCTTTTTATTTCTTACAGCTGCACAACAGAGGCCTAAAATTTAAACTTGATCTTATTTTTTATATTTTTGCTCAATTTGCTGAAATTCCAGATGTGTAACAAAAACCTGAAGACCAACTGCAAAACTTGTTGTTATGTGTTTGTTTGTTTTTTTTAACCAAAACTTACCAAAAGGTCAGGTTAGTGAAGATAAGCAAATTGTGGTGACCAAGAAATACAAAAAAAAGTAAAAAAGCAGGGTAAGCCAATAGTAATGAACACAATACAGTGAATAAATACGTATAGTTGTATCATTTCAGGGTTCATAGTAAGATTTTGCAGTGTCGACAATTATCTAACAATGTTTCGCAGATTCGCTGTATTGTGAAGGAGCATCACTGTGTGGTGATGATACCGGCAGAGCAACAGCTCACATGATCCTATCTGCATTTGTTATTTTTGTATCTTTTTTGTACACTTAATGGTTTTCAGCACCTCCATAAACACTTAATCATAAAATGTAAATCTGTGGGCAGTTACTCCATGCCCTCCTGAATTAACCTAACTTATGACTTAACAGCCTCATATATGATCCATCCATCCATTCGCTTCAGCTTCTCCTTTTCAGGGTCGCGGGGGGCGCTGGAGCCTATCCCAGCTGTCATAGGGCGAGAGGCGGGGTACACCCTGGACAGGTCGCCAGTCTGTCACAGGGCCAACACACAGAGACAGACAACCATTCGCACTCACATTCATTCACACATTCACACCTAGTGGCAATTTAGATTATCCAATTAACCTATCCCCATAAGCTGCATGTCTTTGGACGGTGGGAGGAAGCGTGGGTTCCCTCCGGGTACTCCGCCTCATATATGACATACGTGATATTCATAGTGAATATTATCTGATCATCTCAGAAGGTAAAACATAACCACCTTTGTGCCACTGAAAACTCTGCCTTCAGTCTTGACAAACCTGCCGAGCAAATTTGAAAGATTCCTGCTAATCGTACATTACAAAGAGCCTCACAACTGTAGCAGTGCGAGCGTGCGTGAGGGTTCGTCCTCAAGGAGACAATACGTGAGAGTAGTGTGTTTCAGAAAGTGTGCCTCAAAGACAAAAGGAGAACAAAAGCGTGTGTTGTTCTTGTGATGCTGAGCTTTCACTGCTTTCAAAGAAAAGCCCAACATCACACAAACTATTGATTTCCTGAATTTTAAAGCTGAAAGTTTTCTTTGTCTTTGTCTTTTAAACGTGTTTGTTTGCGTGTTTCTCCGTGGCTGTGAAGTCCTGATTTCTGTTTTCTCTCTCATTTCTAGTCTATGCTACAGTCCAGGAAAGCTGGACTCGCCCACACACTGGCCACACGGACCTCCCTGAAAGACGAAGAGCTTGTGAGTGGCCAAGTGCATATGCCGTACACACACACACACACACACACACACACACACACACACACACACACACACACACACACACACACACACACACACACAATAAAGGTGTGAGTTACCTACAGGGAGACTTGTCACCTCGATGCCAGCTAATAGGGACTCACGCAGACCTCAACTTATTTTTACAAACAGTCACACACACTTTCTCACACTTTTTTGCACTTTTTTCCCTCCAACTGTTTTCCTGCTGTCATTATCCTGCAGCCATATTGTTAATCTGTTTGTTGGAGATCCAATATACTGTAGGCTCTGGATTTTGCTGAGTCAACTTCAGACAGCTTCATGTTTTAATGGAGGCAGGGGCAGACTTCATGTTTGTTTATTATAGTTCATTCTGCAATTCTTTTCCATGCCTCGCTGTGCCAAGTCATGATGGTGATTACATTATATATCAGAAGAAGCATTAATAATTAAAGTGCATAAAGTAGGACACTGGATTTGGCAGAAAATGATACAGCAGAGGACAGGAGGAGTTTCAAAGGTTGGGATTTTCTTTTCAGAGTATAATTACACATGAAAAATTAAGAACCTCTTATTTGGATGAAACGCAGTTTACTAGAGTCCTACAGTGTAGAAGACTTGTGCAGCTCAAGTGCAATGCTAAAAATAGACCGTGCAATAAATACCGGCTCGCCTTATAACTGAGTGACTTTAGTTTTAAGGCCACAGGTTGTGTTGGTGGGCTGAACCGTATTGATGGCCTCTCACCTTTTTTCCTATAATATATAAACCTTCATGAATTGTGTTGCGGACTCTTTATTTCGTTGGATTCCGATTCCAAGTTTGTTTCTCACCAATTCAGAAAGCCTAAAGGTTCATCCTGTGGCAAAAACAGTCGCCGACAAATGGAAATCAGAGGTGATAAAATCACAGAAAAGCACAAAGTGAAATCAAAAGGTCAGATCAATAAAAGTGAAAGTATTGATACAAAACAGTCATTTCTATTAGTAACTCCACCACACCAGCATCTCTACCATGATAATTATAAAGAAAAGAATAAAGAGAGCATTAACAATAATAATGACTCACTTGCCCTCGATACAAAATTCACCAAATCAAACTGGGCTTCTTGTCAAGGTGTCCTCTGGTCTTGTGTAGATTGTTCACCTCCTCCCACACTCCTCCTACAACATCAGAATTTAGTTCGTCAGAGAAAAGTCGTAGAATTTCAATCAAATTAATTGCTGTACATAATCAAAGCTCGCTGTAATTTTAAATGATACTTCCTTAAAATTACGCTGTGGTTAATTTTGACAGCTTTCCTGAATTACTTCTGCAGACCTTACTTAAATCAGACTACAGTGAACACAACTAGCTAATATATACTTTTATATAATTATGTATTACTAAGTGCGAATAGTCTTTTGTGCATTTCTGTCACTGACCTCGTCGTCCTCTGTCTTGCCTTGTTTTGCATCCTCGCCTATTTGCGCCGTATCAGTCTCTAAGCTGTTGTCTGCTCCCTCCGTTTACTTTCTTTGGAAAATGTTTTAAAAAACCAGTCCTACTCCTCGCTTTTATGCTTCTTTCAGACGCACGTTCTCTTTATCGCTTCCTCTCTCTCTCTTTTTTCCTCCAACAGAAAAACCACGTATACAAGAAGACCCTGCAGGCTCTCATCTACCCCATCTCCTGCACCACGCCGCACAATTTTGAAGTGTGGACCGCCACCACACCCACTTACTGCTACGAGTGCGAGGGTCTGCTGTGGGGCATCGCCCGGCAGGGAATGCGCTGTGCAGAGTGTGGGGTCAAAGTGCATGAGAAATGCCAAGAGCTGCTAAACGCTGACTGCCTGCAAAGTAAGTAAAGTTATTAAACTACCTGACAGCTGAATTGTCATATTTATTATTGCTTCCTGTGAACTTGCTGCATCGCCTTCAGGAGCGGCCGAGAAGAGCTCCAAGACCGGGGCAGAGGACCGGACGCAGCACATCATCATGGCCATGAAAGACCGGATGAAAATCCGCGAGAGGAACAAGCCAGAGATCTTTGAGGAGATCCGTAAAGTGTTCAACGTCTCCAAGATGGTCCACACCCAGAACATGAAGAACATTAAGCAGAGTGTGCTGGATGGCACTTCCAAGTGGTCAGCCAAGATCACCATCAATGGTATTTACTTGTTACTTCTTATTTGAAGTTAAAAACCTAAACAGTTGCCTGTTTTCTCTACAGAGACCATTGAAATGTTTAAGGTAGTTTTAAACTGGGGTCCAAATGCTGCATTTCACTACAAGGCATCCTTAATCTGCCTCTGCTTTTGTCTCACTTTCAGCTATTGAAAGATAAAAACACATTTGCACAAACTCTCCCCAACATTTTCAGACTCCTGTTAGGAGCAAATTTCTTGCAGACATCCAGGAAAAGTAATTCCCAGATTCTTTTCACTCTAGTAAAATGTAAAGGTTCCCTTTTATAATTAACCCTTTAAAGCCCGGTAGCACTGCAATCACGTAAGCTAGCGCAATATTTTTTTCTGCATATGAAACCTGAGGAGTTGTACTTACATCTTATGCCATCAGCTTGTCCTTGGTCACGGTTTCCTTCCACATATAGCTTTGCAAAAGCTGCATAAAAAGCGCTTGCAGCAACAAAAACATAATATTCCAGAAACACGCTTTGCAGATCCAATCAGCTGTTCATAACACTTCCTATGTCCATCAGCGTGAACCATTGCATGTCCGCCATGTCCTGCCCGAAACCGGAAGTGACGTCATTTTGAGGAAATGTAGTTTTTTACCATCGGGGCCTCATGAGCCTATACTGGTGTTTTTAAAAGTTATGTTTGACTTTATGACTTTCTGTGTCGTTTCTGGGATGCTTAGGACTCATATTGCACTGCTGGAAATAGTTTATTTTGATGCATATGCTGTTATTTTGCAAATTTGCACTATAATATTTATTTTCGTTTTTCCTGCAGTATATGAAAATTGGTGTATTTCAAAAATATAACTATGAAGACACTTAAAATTAATTTCCTTTGGTGGGAAACTATTTTGTGCAACTTTTTTGTATTCACAGTTTTGAGGGATAAGCCTGTTAAATTTCTCTAACTAGAAATATATGTTAAATAAACCAAAACGATTTTAAATTTTTTTGTAGTTTATTGCACTTTTTTGCAATTTATGTAATTACTATGCACTTAATGCAGACATTAAGTGCATAGTAATTACTCTGGCTCTGGCGGACTTGGTTCTATGGTAGGTCTTAAAGAGTTAACACTGACTTCAGCCACATTTAGTTTAGTGTATTTTAGTTAGGCCCCACATTAGTCAAAATAATCTCTGCTTATACGTGGAAAGTATACAGTAGTTAGAGCACCAGCAAGACCTCCACAGGCATCAGTGACAAATATGAAACTGGTTTGGATGGTGGGTTGCAAAGTGTCCTGCAGAGGCAGCAGCAGCTTTAGTCAGACTAATGAGTTTCAGCTAAGGTGTCAGCTGATATGGGCTGGGATCACCTGGGATTGGCTGAGTCCCCAAGGTGTCATTAATGTCCGTTAGTAAATAAATTCTTCTGGTTCAGTCAACCAGGCCTCAGTGCACAATTTCCGACACTTTCCCAAAGAGTGACTGTGGGTGTTAGAAAGTTGGAAAAGCAAAGCAGTTTTTTTCATGCATATTCAAACCCGATGAGTGTTAGGAAAGCTGGCACAGTTGTCACCGACACCTGTGTAAACCTGTAGCTGTGTAGAAGTGAAGCAGAGTGTCGCTGAGCCGGAGCGCGACAGGTGCTAAAAAATATCCACCCATATTCATAAAGCATCTTCTTTCCTCACACCGTCTACTGAGCTGTGCTGAAACTTTGACTGTTTATAGGAAGGAGTTACTAATTTGAACGGATTCACATCCCCACCTCTCTTCGCCGCACATCATCAGGACTGCCACTGTTACCAAAGCAACCAGACATATCACACCATATATTGGCAGCAGTGTTTCCATAGCAGCCATCACACCTTGTCTCCCCAATCAGCAGAGATGAGCTCGTTTAAAGATGAGATACAGGGACGGGCGTGGAGCTGCTGCTTTGCTGAAAATCATTCATAACCTAATGGCTGTCATTTACCTTTCTGCTGAACGAGGTCTGACAAACATACTCAACCAATTCTTGATATGCAGTCATTGTCACGGCTGGGGCAGCAGTCGTGTGGTGGAATGAACGAGGAGCCAAGATGCAGATGGCAGTGGAGATGCAGGTGGAGATTTATTTACAGTGAAAAACCAGGTGAGGGCAGAACTGAATATAAACCTAAACTGGGAAAACTAACACAAACAGAGGACACGAGGCGAGGAACAGAGAGACACGGAGACATACCAAAATGATGCAGAAGCTTCACAGAGAGACACAGACGACGCGACACATACTATAAATACACACACCAGGTAACCAGGAAACGGCACACAGGAGGGGACACAGCTGGAAGTGATGGGCATAACGAGACTGACCTACAAAGTAAAACAGGAAACACACAGACTGTTTTACAACACAAAACTCGGGAACCCGAACAGAGCACAGAGGTAGGGATAATAAACACGACAACCAAACCCAAAGAACTAATACAAAATCAGAATAAACTAGAAAATAATAATAATAGACTCAAAGCGCTGGGTCACCGCCCCAGGACCATGACAGTAATAGTTTTTTAAAAAGTACATGTTCAGAAGCTTTGGACGCATAATCTCTTTGTACAGTCCTCCTATCAGTGTGGCTGCTTGTAAGCACAAGAAAAGCTTCTCTCTGTAGTTGTAAATGGGATAAAACCCTTTAAACAAGTGAACTTTTTAAACACGATAAAGAAAAGGCTGCATGTGTCTATAAATTGATCAAGCTGTCTAAAACGTCAGTCATGTCATCCATCTGAAATACAACTCGAAGCGCTTTTAACTCGAACCCCTCTGGACTGACAGGAGATGCTTCACAGAGAGCTCTTTGAAGAGTCACTCGATTCCAGTAGGGAATAACCAATTTATATTCAAAATGCTCTTTAGCACAGAGACGTGGCCACTAAATGAACAGACAGCAAATATATGACTGGAACGTTATGGCTCATAACAGCATATTAATCGTACATTCGAACACACATCTCGTTAATCGACATTTTATTTGGGAAAAAACAGGAAACAAATGTTTAAAGTGAGAAAACGGACCATTTAAAGAAATTGGGTAATTTTGATTTTGATGACATCATGTTTCCCACTGTGTGCAAACATCTGGGAACTGAGGAGACCACCTGCTGGACTAACAGGAGAACAATGTTGTCCCGTTCTTGTCTGATGGGAGATTCCTGCTGCTTCACAGTCCTGGGTCTTCTTTGCTGTAGTTTTAGTTTCGCGATGATGCAAACGTTCAGCACGCAGACTCTTCTACTGTGAAGCCGTGCTGTTGTTGTCTTGCTGAAACACACAAAACCTTCCCTGGAGAGAAGCAGGAGAAAGTCATCTGGCTGGGAGCATATGTTGAGCTAAAACCTCCTGAGCCCACGGAGCGATGCATGTCAATGCAGTTAAAAGGCTTTGCCCGTTATGCACAGAGATTTTTCAAGTTTCTCAGACTCTTTCAGTGATATTAGGCACTAATAATGGGATTTACATCATTCTGAATTTGTTCCACAATTTTTAGACATCATTCTTTGCAGTGTGGTGAACGTCTGCCCATCCTTACTTCTGAAAAACTCTGCCTCTCTTTTTATACACAGGCAGGTCAGTGACCTGTCGCCAATTAACCTGATTGTCGTTTTTAGCACCATTTACTTTTCCAGACATTTGTTGCTCCATCCCAACTTTTTGGAGACGTGTTGCTGCCCTTGAATATGTTATATTTTCTAAGCTCAAATATTTAATTTGTCTTTTATGTTCTATTATAAATAAAATATGGGTATGCGACTGTCAAAGATTGCATTCTGTTTTGAATTATAATTTACTCAGCCTCCCAGCTTTTTTGGTGAATCTGGCATCAACAATGCATTTTCTTCTGCTGAACTGCTGCTCGCGGGATGATTTTAGTATTTCAGGCCATTCTCTGTAAACTGTAGAGATGGCTGTGCAGGAAAATCCCAGCAGATCAGCAGTTTGTGAAATACTCAGACCAGCCTGTCCACAACTAACAACCATCCAAGTCCCTTAAATCACCTTTCTTACTCATTCTGATGTTCAGTTTGAACTTCAGCAGCTCATCTTGACTATGTCTGCATGCCTGCATGAGTGGAATTGCTGCCATGTGATTGCTCTATTTGAACATTTGCATTAACAAGCACTCTAACAGGTGTACCTAATAAAATGGTTGAGTGTAGATATTCATAAATGGCATAAATGTGTTATTCTTTTTTCTATTTTTAAAATTACAAACGGATGTGATCGCCTGTTTACATTTCATACATGAACTGGCTTTTTTCAAATATTAGACACAAAAAACATGTCACACTCTTTAACTACAGTCAGTGTTTGCTGTTAAGCAACAGCTATTTATGGCCTCGGACACACACAGGTTGTGCAATCGGCATCATTTGCTACATTCTGAATGATGAGACTCACCCTGAGCTCACCCTGCATGTCGAATTTCTGTCAATAACCTTCCTACCGGTCCTAGAAAATGTGCGTGCATGTTGCTTAGTTCATTTGTCCTCAGGCTTCAGCTCTAGTTAAAGTCTGCAGCTATGAATAGTTCCCCTCATTAGTATGTGCTGCAGAAATCCCGCTTGCCTTCTCACCTGGATTAAAGTGACAGTGTGAGACGGCAGAAATGAAGTTGGCCCTCCTTGGTACCTGTTGACCTTCCGTTGTTGATAAATGTCTCCAGTCACAATTCAGATCATCCGTCTATCAAAAAAGTTTTGTGCCAGCTGACTGGAGAGAAGCCAAACAGAGCCGGGTGTCACAGAAACGGCTTTTCATTTATTGCTTGGTTGTTTTAGGAGAGTAAGGATGCAGCATACAGAATGCAATGTGCAAAAAGGAGATAAAAAAGATTGCATGCCATGTGCTGCTGACACTACAGGCTTCACTACGCTCTGGTGCAACAGTGGGACCACATCATAGCCTCAGGGTTTTTTAAAGCCTACTTTCACCACTTGTTGCACAAAACCTTGCGGTTATTTAAGATATTTAGTAAAAAATGTTACCCAACATCTGCCTGTGAGTCACGAGTATTGTGTTACGAGGCTTTGCATAACTGTGTGGGTGATATTGTGTGTTTCGATGTGTATGTGAATGAGAAACCGAAAGATGATGGTAGGGAGTAGGTGTTTGTTGTTCTTATGCAATTTTCATAGTCATTTTCTCT